CTTGCATCAGAAGGGAGGTGAACAACCCCCTGTACTCAGTTCTAGTGAGGCTGCACCTCAAGTACTGTGTTAAGTTTTGGGCCCCTCACTACAAGAAAGACATTGAGGCTCTGAAGCACATCCAGAGAAGGGCAACAAAACTGGTGAACGGTCTGAGCATAAGTCTTACAAGGAGAGGCTGAGGGAACTGAGATTGTTCAGTCTGGAGAAGAGGAGGCTGGGGGAGACCTTATCACTATGTACAACTCCCTGAAAGGAGGTTGTGGTGAGGTGGGGATCAGCTTCTCCTGGGTAACAGTGATAGGATGAGAGCAAATGGTCTTAAGTTGCACCAGAGGAGGTTCAGGTTGGATATTAGGAATTTCTTCTTAGAAAGAGAGGTGATGCACTGGAATGGGCTGCCCAGGAAAGTAGTAGAGTTGCCATCCCTGGAGCTGTTTAAGGAAAGGGTAGAGGTAGTACTTAGTGACATGGTTTAATGGGCAGTATTGGTGGTAGGTGGACAGTTGGAATAGATGATCTTAGAAGTCTTTTCCAACCTTAATGATCCTATGATTTTTACTTGTAATTAGAATTTTACAGTTGCTCGCAGCTAAGTTTCTTCACAAAAATATTCATAAGGACGTTTTGGCAAATTCAACCTACAAGGACATGAAATTGAGCCTTAATTTCAGTTTTAATGGGGATCAATGAAAAGAGAAAAAGAGATCACAAAAAAAGTTATACACCTCAAACTAAGCTCTTAATTTGTTAGACAGCACTGCTCAAGTTATACATCACTCATTATCTAATTACAATGCAGTTACAGCTCATTGTGAATCATATTTCAAGAAGGGCTACAAGTCTATATTTCTTGTTTGAAAATGCAGATCAACTGGCTAGCTTTAAATTCAAACCAAGTCTTCCACCTGTCTCTTTATGTGCATGTTGCTATGGTGAAGATCATGACTGACTGTATACAAAAGTGAAGCACAGAAGAATCATTGAAAAAAAAAACCCACATCCAGACAGCAGGAAAAAAAAAAGTAACAACTGAAAAAAAAAAAAGCATATTACTTGTTAGGTGCCATTAAGGACTCCTATTTTTCTGGCCCTATTTTGCTGATCACCTGCCCAGAAATGTAATTGGAATCATAAACTTTAAACTACCCCAGTTTTCCTGACAAAATCTTTCTAACAAATACAAGCATAACTATTGTCATTATAAGTCCCATTAGGTCAGGAGCTATAATGTGCACTGGCACTACAGCTCCTTGCTCTTTTGGCTTCTCTCATTCTCACCCCTCTTGCTTTCCTCAACTGTGATATATCAGTCACTGAGGATTAACATCCTGCACAGAGCTGGGAATAGTTTGTGCAGCTTGGGCCAGAAAAAGCCCCACAAAGTGTCCTTGCCTGCAGGTGCCTGTGTAGGAAGGCTGCCACAATTCTCCTTAGTTCGCAAGTGCTGGATATTGCATTGCAAAGATTTGGCAGAACTTGAAGCTCAAAGGGCAAACCATACACTAAGTACTCCCAGAAAGTTATAAAATGTTCCTCAGATGTTATAGTAAGGTCTGCAATTTCTTTTAAAAGCTGTGTTTTAAAGGCAAACACTTTGTAATCTCTCCTCTGGAAGGGCTCCCTCATTCAACAGTAATAGTTTGAGGGAAGAAGTAAAACATCAGTGCTAATCTTTCATTAACTGCTGTTGCTGCTATTCTTAAAGCTCCAGGTCTGAGTTTCATTTGAGCTTTATTTCTCCTTTGAGATACAAGCCCTTTCCAGCCTTTCAATGGGTTCAATGTCTTTCAAATGGTTTCTTCAGAGTTTGCTCAAGCGTGGTGGGCATAACGATGCAGTCACTAGGGTTTGTTCAAGACATAACCATTTGAGCTTCCATGATTCAAACTCTTTCTTTCGCAGAAGTCTCTGCTGGTTCCAGCAGTAATCCTACCTGGGAGAAGTGAGAGAAGTGGGCTCCAAATGTTCACATATGAAGGATGCCCAGTGAAGGTATCCAATTGGTAACAGCATGCATGAATAACAGACTTCCTTCCAGAGATGACCTGAGCAGAAGCCAAAAAGAAGAACTTTCTGGTAATGTTCCAGGAACAGAAACAAGAGTTTCAGAAGTTTGTGAAAATGGAGAGTGTATAATCAATTAATATAAAGATGCTATAATTATGAAATTAACAAAAGAAGTTGGCTAAGTAGGCTACAATAACAAAGAGAGAATAGATAGAATGCTTACCTGTGTCCTGGGCTCACTGCAAAAACTCCAAAGGAGGGATCCCCAGAAGGGATCCTTCCAACTGGTAGTCAGCTCTTAAGTGGGTCTAGGAGAGGTGGATCCAGACTCCACCCCTTCTGGCAGCACAGGTGAATTGCCTTCACCTGTGCTCCTGTGGCTGACTCATTGCTTGCCTCAGGTGTTCAGGCCGTGATTCAGCAGTTCCCATACAGAGGGAAATAAGAACTTCTCCAAACTTTCAGACTGAAAAAAAAAAAAAGCCCTTCTGATAGAGTGATTTTATCACAGATCCAAGCTGATTTTATTCAGAATTGTATATTCATAACTAGTTACTCTTCATTGTGTCTTCTCAAATAGTACAACCCAAACCAGGCATGTCCAACATGTGGCCTGCTGTCTGCTCATCCTGTCCTGAGGCCATCTTCTGACCCACTCTCATCATCATGATGGCTTTGCCCCAGCAAGTGGCCTGGCCTAGCCCTGGGCGTGCACCCATCATTCACTGCCAATGGAACGTTGATGCAATACTGATCTACTCTAGGCTGAAATCAGGACATGGGGAGGGGACACTGCAGAGCTAACTCAAGTTATGGCAAATAAGTTTATGGATTCTGATACGCTGGCCTCTGAGCAGCAAAAACTATGCAGCTGTGCTTTCTGTTTTGGCAAAGGAATTTGAGAACAGATTTCAAGACTGCCAAAATATCACCAATTTTTTGTTTCATTTGTGACTCCATTTTCAGTTGACATAAATAAATTACTTGTGAATTTTATTACTTACATACGCTATATATATAAAGTATTTTATAACTGCTGCTCTGAAATTAATGCCTCCTATTTTATGATGCTGTCCCATGATGTCAGCAGAAGATACTGTATGCATGGCAGTAGAGGTTGAATCTTCCCACCAATATTCCATTACATGTTGTTGCTGTGTGACAGATGGCAGCAGAAGGGCAGTCAGACAAATTGGTGTCTGACATAAAAGTTCACACGAAGCAAAGGTGTGGCACTGAATTTCTTCATGTGGAAAAAATTGCACTCAATGACATTCATCAATGTTTGCTGAGTGTGTTTTGGAGCTGAGAACTTGCTCTATCAAATAGAGTTACTGTGCTCTTTGTAACGGTTGTAGTTTCCATGGAAATAATTAGGAGGCATTACTTTCAGAGCAACCTTCATAAATGCAGCACAAAACAGTTCCTCTTCTCTCCATGTGGCCCAGGCAAACAAAAGGTTGGACGCCCATGGTCTGTACAGTCGGTGTCCAACTTTTTGTTTTACTTTAGCCGCATGGAGTGAAGAGGAACTGTCTTAGGCCATACACAAAATATTTAGTATTATGTTAATGTATATGAGTAACAAAAAACTTCTTTTTAAAAATGTTTTTTATTAAAACATAAAAAAAAAAAAGGCAGAGAACCATTAAACTAGTGGGTTGGATACGTATGTTTTAGAGCTTGAAGTCCTTAGAAGGGGTGAACTTGTTCTGCCACAGCTTCAGGATATGAACCTCAGCTCTTTTCTCTGCTTCTCAGTTTTTTCCCCATATAAAATGGTGGCATTCCTTCTCTTCTTGCAGACTCGGCCATGCAGTTTTTTCATGTCTCAGATTTCTGATGTTGGATTATTACAAGTTAATGGTATTAATTACACCATAACTGTTCATCCAGAGGGTAATAATTAATTATCAAAGGGCTTGTTTTGTGCTAGGTTGAAATAGATCGTTAGGTAATTTATTATGACTAGTAAAATATGTTAACTCAATCAATTTTTGCAGATCTGTTTTACAATTCAGTGTCAACGGAATGTAATTTTCAAACCTGTACTTAAGTACATTCAGCAATAGGGCAGATACAAACACTGCAGCCAAATGCTACAGTGAGATTCCTCAGCACAGACACATGGCTAAGAGCTTTTAGCTTTCCTTCATGGAGAATTACATACAGACTGAAATATTTGGCTGGTGTGATCTGCCTGGTTTGGTCTTTGCATCTTAATAGAAATACAAGAAGTGCATTCAGGAGCACTGTGAAAGCTGTCCACAGTCTCTCATAGGACTAAAGCTATGTCTCACCAAACAGTAAGCGTAAATAGGCCAAGTGCTGGGCAGGAAAAATCTGTGGCATCATGTTTGAATTCACTTTTTTGGCTGCTTTGCTATCCTCGAAGGAGGCAGTGAGTCCACCAATGCAACTCAATTTTCAAAAGGGCTAAATGAAGCACATCAGGGTAACAGTGAGTGCAATTGTATTTCCTAATGAGCATAAAGGCTTCCCTTAGAGACAAGAAAAAGAAGCAATGTCAAAGATCAGTCAGGTTTTCCCCTCTTTGTCCCATTCCTCTATAAAACAGAAAGACCCGTTTTCCATCCTAAAACCAACGGTGCCCCTCAGAGCTGGTACTCAAGCAGGACAGAGGAAAAACTTCAGTGACTCTTCTTCTGCTATGCTGAATGACTTGACAGAGCAACTGGCTCAAATAAGAAAATACTTGTGGCCTTTGTGGCTATTTTTTCCCCAGTAGTTCTGGCCCTTATAAGCAACCTATATATTAGGTCCTCTATGCTCAGCCTTAACTCTCTGGTTCCCCATGTCCAGACTCCTTCAGTGATGTGGGATTTCCCCTTCCTTCACACATTAAAGGTAGCTTTGGGCCTGGGTCCACACGAAATATCTAACTTCTAGACTTAAAAGGACTTACTACATTAATTTCATTGTTTACTAGAAATACAGGCTATGAAATAAACTAATTATGATTCCATAGACACTAAAATTGCATTTCTTTATAAAGAGATAAGAGGCCTCTGTTTTCATCTATTTTCGGAGACTTAGCTTTTTTCTTAACACAGAGGAGAGCAGCTAGTTGCAGTTGCCTGGATGGGAAGGAAAGGAGAGAAATTTCAGAGGAAAATATGGGGGAAAGCTTTAGTCAGCTTGTCAGGACACCACCTGCAGCTTCCTCTGGACTTAGAAAAGACAGGCAGAGAAGGAGCAAAAGAAATGTGATAAAGAGCCCTGCGCACACCAAGGTCAGAGAAAGAGGAGCATGAGGAGGTGATCCATGGCAATGTGGAACAGATATCCACACTGCAGCCTGTGGATATGCTAGAGCAGGTGGGTATTCCCTGAAAGAAGGTTGTGTTTAGCATCAGTTCCACTGTTGGAGCCATGCAGAAAGTCAAACGGCAGCTAAGTGCAAAATACCTTTTAAATACCATGTTCTATGTGCCTTAATGGTCAAAATCTTGGTATCTGTCTCATGGTCTCTTACATCAGCAGCTTCCCTGGCTACTGTTTGCATCTTTGTTAAAAGATTTAGAAAAGGCACAAATACTTTGGCATTGTTTTATATGGAAGGTGTGCAAATACTACAAAGACTGTTCACAGTTAAAAATCAATAGGTTGCAAGGCAGACAAAGATAACCTGGAGAGATGTCTGGATAAAGGAATTCATCCCATGAAAGACCACCTGAAGGCATAATGGATTTTCCACTGCAGTAAACTACTCAAGGTTTCCATTGGCTACTGCTCACAAATTTTTGAGGTTGCTCAACATGCCTATGAGCTTTACAAACATCTGTAGGTATTTGTTAAAGCCACTGAGATACTTCAGTTTCTACTCCATAGAAAATGGCAATATTTTGTTTTTCACTCTTCACAATACATGTAAGTTTTGCAAATTTTCTACAGAAATGAAATTGAAAAAGTCTGTCTTAGAACCATGCAATGTTTCCTTTGGATAGTACTGAAAATACTGGAAGAAAAAATATAAGAAAAAAAAGTTAACTGCTAACAAATATGTGACCAGATAAAATCAGTAGCGTGTATTAATAGAAAAGGCAAAACGAAACATGACGCAAAGATAAAATCCAAATGCAATGGTCTCCTTTGTTTGGATTGAACGTTTCCTCAATATCAACATGTTCTGACAAAACAATTCAATTTTGCCAAAGTTGCATTTTCGCACAGAAACAGACTTTGTAAAAAGCTGCTGACTAGCTCAAGCATCTGTATTCCAAGTGATTCCTTTTGTGTTCTGCGGTTTTCATCCACTGTGGAGCGAACACTCAGCAAACCTCATTCATTCATCTGGCCCACCATAAGGAAGCAGAGCTATTTTAGGCTTGTTGTAATGGCACATGTGTCACTTTAGGGCTGTCCAGTCACGGGAGTGTGGGCCAGGAATCGCTTTGGGCACCCACCCATGTGATGGAAGCACCCTGGGGATACACCAGCCCTGCCTGTCCAGAGGGAGCTTGCACCAAGCTTGCCTCCTTCTGGAGACATCTGTAACTTCAGCTTATCCACAGCAATGGGGATGATTCACGAATAGAAATTCATATTTCTGTTTCTTCCCTCATAACATCTTTCTTTCTACGATGAAAATTGCTGTCTTACAGCTAAACACTAAAAGCCAATAAACACATCACAAAGGCAATCGGCTGCCAGAGTTCAGAAAGGGTTAAGGCAGCAGTTGGAGAGGTTTGGGGTGACGTCGTGCTTCTGGACGCCTGAGAAGTCTCTTGAAGGTAGTTCCCCTCTGGTGAGGATGGGAGCCAGCCGAGGTCTGAAATCCGAGATCCCTTGCAGCCTGGAGCTGGTGAGGTCCCAGTAAAAGCTGTTTGCCTGCTCTCCCTTCCTGAGCAGTCACACCGCTGCACCGGCCTGAGCAGTATGGAGCGAGCCCCGTGGACACACATAGGACTTACCCTCCTCCAGCTCCTGCTCATCTCCTGCTTGCCGAGAGGTACCGTAAGTGAGCGTCTGCATTCCTGGCATGGCCGAATCAGTGCCTTTCCTTCAGTGTGGTCAGAGGGGTTTGAGCTCACGCGCTGTCATGGGAAGTGGAGAGATCTGCAGGGGTGGTAAGAATAGCAGGAAGGGGCTCTGCTTTATTGATTCATTTCTTGCTGGTATGGAGAGCGTGTGGGGGGAGGTCTGCCCAGGGATGGTTTCCAGGCAAACTTAATAGCCTTAAAGAGAAACAACTGGCTGGATTTGTTTGCCAGTGGCCATCAAGAAAAGGGTATGCAATCACTTCACCTACTACTGCTTTATTTTCTCAACACTCAAAGCTGAGGAAATGATGATAAAAAAAAGGCATTTAAGTCTCCGAATTGTAAAGCGTAATTTGTTTAGTTTGGCAAGACAGAGACTTTCCTCTCCAGCCCCAACACCAAGAATGAAGGCAAAGGAGGAAAAAAGTGTAGGAAAAAAAGAAAACAAAAGCCACACATTGTTTCCGATCTGGGCTTTAGTGCTGCCAATATTATTCTTTCGAAGGGGAAGCCTTGTTAAAGCAAAATAATCTTTTTTGTAGTCAAGCCTTGCTCCAGTTTCTGCTGAGCCAGCATGTTCAGTTTCTTCTTGATAAGACTAAGCGAAAGGCATTTACTGGTGAGTGCAGATTTGCTGTCATGTGGCCACGAACGCGGGCTGTTTACACCTGGAAGCGGCTGGAGCCACTGGCACAGATGGCTGTCAGCATCTCGCAGGCTGCTGACTGGGAGCTCAGGTGCCCCCACACTGCCCGCAGGTCGCAGTGCTGCTGGCAAGGTAAGCACATCGGGGGGAGCAGCTGACCAGGGGACATGTCAGGCATGCAGGCAGCATGTGACGGCTATAAATTGTAAGTGACAACGATGGGGCTTCAGAGCCCACTTCACTGGGGGCTGAACAGAGGGTCTGCTCTGCAGTGCCCTGTCTCGCCAGTTCTTAGGGCCCGTGTGACACAGAGACTGACTGTTGCCAAAGCTTCCCCCAGAGGCACTAGCACAAAACACTGTCCCACTGTCCCACCTGCACTACTTCTTGTCCCGGCGGTGGCCTGTCACTCTGTCAGATGCCCCAGCACTCCTAAGCACAGGCGGTGCCAGGCCAGCAGCTGGCTGCTGCAGAGAGATTTGTTGCCCACCTGGCAGCAGCTCCTCATGCACCAGGGTGAGTGACTGCAGGGCAGGAGATCCCACATCGACAGCCACCCCCTGGCAGCTGTGTGCCTCTCACCCCTCATACAGCAGCAGGAATGGATCTCCAAGCCAGGGCAAGGAGTCAACAGCGCAGTGGCCTTAGCATGTCAGGGCAGGTTGGAAAATAGCACTTTGCCTCCTCCCCACAGATGTATCCAATTTTTATCCCTATTTATCACACCCAGTTGCACAGGGCCTGCCTCAAGAGTTGGGGGCAGGAGTCGGGGGAGGTCTGGGAGTTGATTTTTGGAATAACCTTGAAGTGCAAGTGACTCATATTTCCTTAAAAATACATGTGTGTTTGTATGTGCTCTTGCCTATCTTAACCCTCCCCAGTCTCTCTTCCCCTCCCCCTCCATCCTCTGTCTGGAGAAGTGGAGCCCAGATGCACTCAGAGACATCCAGATGCATTCAATCTTAGCAAATGGGTTACTTCAGTTCACATGTTTAGCTTCCTAGCATGGACAAAGGCTGAGAGCCTCGCTTTTTGTTTTAGAGGAAAGCTGGGGTTACACATGCTCAACCCCAAGGTTACCTCCCAGGAGTCCCCATGAGCCCTTCAGTACCCCAAGGTTGGGCTTTGTGTAGCCTAGACGGAGCGTGTTCTCTTGGGGATGCAGGCATCCCTCTCCTGGCCATGAAATCAGAGTTGTGGTAGGGAGGGAGCTGTGGGGCGGGGAGGCAAGCCATCAGCAAGGGCACAGGGCCGGCAGCCAGGGGGACACCCTGCAGCCCATGGCCAGGGCCGTACACAGCTCCCCTGGGGCTGCAGTTACGTAAAACTTGGGGTGAGAGCTCAGAGATCTGGCTGCTGTCCGTGTGGGCTATTTCTGTGCAAGCAATGTTAGCTGCAAGTGTTCTGCCAAGCTGGTCCAGGTCTGACACAGATACAACAAGGAAGCGCTTGAAGGTCTAGCACCACTTCTTCACATTTAGCACAAGCACGATCCTGTGTTGTGTGGTCATGGATTTAAATATTGCAGCTGTTTCTTTTCCACAGGTTTCCAGATATTCCCTCTATCATGGAACTCTCTTCCCCAGGCCTGTTAACCTCTCTAACCTTAAAAACACTGCATTCATACCTGTTCCTTGTTCTGCAGCAGAAGAAAAACAAAATCTCTTCCCAGTCACATTAGTGTCATTTCCCTGGCCAGAATAAGCTTCTCTATCCCCAGAAGAAATCGAGGCCTGATGAGTAACGTAGCAACCTCTGTGTTTCATCTGTGTCCTGGCTGTTTGACCATGTCACAGCCCTACTCAGACAAACACACAATGCCACAGAGCCAAAAATGAGATCAAAATACTATCTCATAATTACAGAGGAGAGAATGAAGGAGGAGGAGGTTTAGAGCAATTTTCATCAGGTTGCTTTCGATGCTAAAACGCTCTGAATACTGATAGACAATGGCCTCTAATTTAAATCTGAATATGGCAAAAGGATACAGAAGGAGCAAGCTGTGGTATTTTGAGGGCAAGGAAAGATGTGTGCTGAGGGGAACAAGGTTTAAACTGGAGCACATTCTGAAACATGGAGGCTTATGTACTTGAAGCATCTTTCTGGTCCTATGGACTAGCCAGTCTGTCCTAGGGAGAGTGGAAGGCATATAAGGGCTTTGTACAAGAAAGTGTGGAAGGGAACAGATTTCTACTTGGAGCGTATAGCATATGACTCTATTTTTCATGGTACAGCTTACTGCCAAAAAAAAAGAGCTGCCGAAACGTGAGAAGAAAAGAACTAGGCCTGACATAGCCAGTGGGCATCACTGCTGGGAGATGCTGGCTGAGTGGCAGTAGGATCCAAAGGTTTTATGGTATAGACTGACTGAATGGACACTCCTGTTTTCTGTTAAGACTGGAAATGTTCTATATGCATTAAGCCACTGTTATAGCTCTTAGATGAGCAACATCTACAGGCCACAAATAGGAAGCATAATTTTTACTTGGCTTTCCTTTTGGTTGCACTGAGGCACTTGATTTATATTATTGACTGAACAAAAGCAGGCAGCGCGGATTGAGATAGATATGGGAAATCCAAGGACCAGATGGAGACCTCAAAATTACTTTTTACTGAAGTAAGAATTCTTTTCTCCTCTTCTGCCAAAGCAGAAGTGCTGAGAGTTTATGATTTGTTTACCGTAGCCCAATTAAGAGGGGAAGCTTACAAGTGTAAAAAGGCACTACTGTAGGAGCATGCTGAAGCAAACCTAAGGCCTGTCAGGAGCAACAGGACTATTTATTTCTGAATGTTATAGCTACGATACACTGCACGACAACAGGAAGCCTAGAATAGAAAGCCTCATTTTTTCAAAGATTAGGCAGACCTCAGTTCCTGAGCCAAAGAAGAATGTGCATTAGCCTTTTATCTATATGAGCCATTATCTGTATTGTTAACAAGATGGAGTTTAGGCCAACCATGGCCTCATCCAGCTGAACACAGTTGTACAGACACTAGACTGTTTTTCAGTGCACTTCTTAAAGAGAATATACTTTCTGTAGTTAGTCTGCTTTCAACATAACCTCACATTTGGAACTTAAAAAAAATGGTGGAATGAATGCACATTTATTAAGTGGACAGTCATCTTAGTATAGTAGACTTCCCTCTGTGTTCACCCACTGGCTTTGGCTGGTTTGTTTTGTTTTGCTTTGTAGAAATCCTTTCATTTTTTCACCTCCCTCTCACTGCTGTGTGAAAGCACACCAATAGCCAGGAAAGGATGGGAACTGGCTCATTGGGAGAAACAGTCCGATTATTCAACAATGGCCCGTAATCCTTAAATGAAGCACACTGAGCATAGCTAAAACAAGGATGCATTTTAGCTCCTCGTTTAATTAGCTCAGCTGCTAAAAAGAATAGTAGGTACATAATTTTAAGGAGAACCAAGTATTTTTAGAGACAACATAGTCTCTTTCATCTTCTTAAGCCACCTATTAGGAAAAGAGCAGAACTGCACACAATATGTCTTCTTAGGCATAAAGAGGTTAGGCCTAAAGATCTGCACTTCCCATCATTCCTAATGGTTTGGGGTACACTGTTCTCCATGTGCCCCAATTAAAGCTGCTTAAAGTAACCTCTCTTCCCTTCTGAGATGTGTTTCTCTTGGCCTTACTGAATTCAAAAGGAGATTTTTGCCATTATCACAGCAGAGCCAGTTTCACCCAATGTTTCTCATCACCAGTTGAAAAATTCTAGTTCTTCTGTGCACTTCTTGTTCTTCATTTGCTGATGTCCACATGCATGACGCTTATGGGATGAAGACCAGGTTGCACATTGGTGCAATGATAGTAGAATTGGATAAGAAACAGACTGAAGCAGTCATAAAAATGAGACAGACCTGAATAGAAAGAAAATACATTCACTCTTACTGGATTTCACCTTTGTTAGAGTTATTTTTTCTTTAAATAAGAATCTTTCCCTTCAGAAATATTACACAGCTGAACATTCCCTAATAAGAGCCTTAAAAAAAAAAAATCATTCCTTCAAACTCAAGCACTCACTTTTTCTGCAGAAGCCAATAATTGTTACTGAACATCATGCTTAAAAAATAAATGGCAATCAAATAAGAAGGGGTATATTCTTATCTGTGGAACATGAGCTGGTTGAATAAACACATTGAAACAGGCATACGTTATGGACTCTAAAATTAGAGATGTATCTGTATCTGCTCTTACTTACAATACACTTTTAATAATAAATAATAATAATAGATGCACCACTTTTTAAAGCAGTTTGAAATTATATGTCTTCAAGCTGACGTAGTGTTATATCCATGTGCTGATA